CATGTTCTTAAAAAGGAAACTGCAGTCTGTGTATAAAAAAAAAAAATTAAGATTAGAAACCTCAAGGTCTCAGCTTCTTTGAAAGACATGTGTTGCCCATGTGAGTCATCCAGGGCTATTCTGGGGCTGCAGTTCTGGGATTAGCCAGGGCTGAGATTCTGCTGGCAGCCCTGAAGCTTGAGGCAGATGCACACCAGTGAGAGGAGAAAATCTTGTCTGGGAGCCAAGACAAAGGACTGAGAGCTGGGAGGTCTGTGGTTGGAGGGCTGGTGAAAGCCTTGACACCAGGAGTGACCTCAGGGATTTCAGGCAGACACAGGAAAGGGTCAGATTCTGGGAAAGACCCAGCTGCCCTCTCTGTTTACAGAGATTCTAGAAGCTACAGCAAACCCAGCTGTTAGTGCTGAAAACTCTTCTCAATGTGCTGAAAATGGGTGGGTGAGAGGAGAAGGGCTGGTTTCGTTTTTGACTGTAACTTTAGCCTCAGCCAAGTTTCTGCCAACTCCCAGCCTCAATTTTCCTATCTGTTAAACGTTTGAGGTCTTTCAAGCTCTCAGACTGTATTTTGAGACTCAGTTCTCTTTTTCTTCTTTCTCCTCATCTTGTGAATTGAACTCACTAATTCATAAGTTCCCATGCAAATATAATAGAAATTCTGCACCTGCTTTACTGAGTTAGGGCTTTCATTCCAAGTATTTGGAGACTTCTCTGGAATTGTCTGGTTTTGCACCTGGGATTTCTAAATAGCCCCATTTCCTGCCTCAATGCAGGCACCTCCTCACGCAGCCTCACTCACTCAAGGGCTGATGTCTCTCAAGAACCTCCCTCTTGGCCCATTCAAACCAAATCAACTTCTCCCTCTAAGCTACCGTGTCTCCTGTGGTCCAGGCTCAGGAAATGGCAACTCTACCCACCTAACCCAGGACACTTGGGCTGCAAAACAGACCTTGGAAGAAATCCATTCTCTTGCTTCCTTTCTAGGCCTGTTTTTTCAACAGTTAAGTGAGGGGCTTGGCTTGATGGCATCTGAGGTTGCTGACTGGCCTGAATGCTCTGATTTACTCCCAACTCCATCACTAATGTGTGCAGTGACCCTGGCTAAGTCAGTCCTCTCTGCAACTTCTGTTTCTTCATCAATAATTGAGATAGTTGGATTAGATGAGTTTTATAGTAGAGGCATTGGAAAAAGCACTAACATTGGAGACAGGAAATCTGGATTCTCCTAATTACTATCTCATTATTCAGCCCTAGGCCAGTCACTTGTCATGGGAGGCTACAGTTTCACCTATGTCTAATGGGGAGTGTTGGCCTACCTGCCCCCCAAGGTTCTTCATTCCCCTGCCCTGACATTCTGGGGCTCTGACACTAGGGCACTTATGTCATTTAGCTAACAGCTTATGTGTTTGTCTCCTTTCCTCACTCTGGAAGGTTCCAGGTGGTTTTCTGGAACAATTGGAGGCCCCTTAATCCCTGTGGCTTTGCAGAAAGCTAGAGGAAACGTGGCAAGAGCCTTAGAAAGCAGGTAGGCCAATGATTAATAATAATTCTGGTAGACAAGAAAAATGGAAAGGATGAGCACAGTGGCTCACGCCTGTAATCCCAACACTTTGGGACGCCGAGGTGGGTGGATCACCTGAGGTCAGGAGTTCAAGACCAACCTGACCAACATGGCAAAGCCCTGTCTCTACTAAATATACAAAAATTAGCCGGGCATAGTGGTGAGTGCCTGTAATCCCAGCTACTCGGGAGGGTGAGACATGAGAATAGCTTGAACACGGGAGGCGGAGGTTACAGTGAGCAGAGATCATGTCATTTCACTCCAGTCTGGGCGACAAGGCAAGAGTCCATCTCAAAAAAAAAAAAAAAAGCAAAAGAAAAATGAAAAAATGAAATAAGGTAATCTAAACTCCCTCTTTCAGAATCCTGAACCTGATAATCCTGTTGCTATTTGGTGTTAAAAAATGTGCTTTGAGATGTTTCTTTTTGGGGGGAATGGGGAGATGGGGTCTTGCTCTGTCACCCAGGCTGGAGTGCAGTGGCGCAATTCAGAGATTTTTCTTTAATGATAATCTCAGCCTCTTTAATGATAATTCACCGGCCTTGGCTGCACTGCCAGGAGACCTTGAGATGTCCCCCTTCCCTCTTTATGAAAACGTGCTGTTTCTAGACAACATGGAAAAATAGAAAAGTACAATTATAAATAAAAAAGCAAGTCACAGATGAAAACTTATGGTAGATTTTATATAAGTCCCCCAAACAGGCAACATTCAAATGTATATTGTTTACAGATAAAATTGCATAAAGTAAATGATAACACAAAATTCAGATAGTGGTTACATTGGAATAGGAGGTTAATAGGAGACTTCAGAGGTATCCACTTCTCAGGAGTGTGTGAGGGTTTTATGCAGCCAGACTGAAAGTTTCATGAGAGTAGAGACCAATATTTTCTTTTCTTCAATTTATTTCCTAAGCCTAGCAAAAAGGATGGCACATCGTGTCTGCTAACACACGCTTTCAGTTAAATGAATAAATACACTGCCTTGTAAACGGTCAAGCTATGCAGATCAAGACTTTATTATTATTAGTTACTACGGCTAATTAATAGACTTAAATAGAAGGTAATAAACTGTAGGATTCAGAAAGCACTATTGAAAGTTTAATGTTAAAGTAGCACTCAGGTAAAACTTTTGTTTCTAAATTTGTGACCACTATAATTACATTTAAATTGCCACATGAGTATGAAACATGAAATCTGACTGAAGGCAAGCATAATTTAGAGGAAAATGCAATAAAAGAAAACAAAAATGAAAACCCGACCGGGTCAGATCTGCAAGTTATACTCTGTGCTTTTTTTTTTTTTTTTAATTTAAGACAGAATCTCACTTTGTTGTCCAGACTGGAGTGCAGTGGCACGATCTCGGCTTTGCCTCCCAGGTTAAGCAATTCTCTGCCTCAGCTTCCTGAGTAGCTGGGATTACAGGCGCCCACCACGCCTGGCTAACTTTTGTATTATTAGTAGAGACGGATTTCACCATCTTGGCCAGACTGGTCTTGGAACCGACCTCGTGATCCACCTGCCTCGGCCTCCCAAAGTGCTGGGATTACAGGCGTGAGCCACCATGTGGCCTCGGTGCTGTTTATTTTATTTATTTATTTTGGTATTTTTAGTAGAGACAGGGTTTCACCATGTTGGTCAGGCTGGTCTTGAACTCCTGATCTCGTGATCCACCCTCCTCGGCCTCCCAAAGTGCTGGGATTACAGGTGTGAGCCATCGCATCCAGCCTTCTGTGCTTCTTTTAAGGAAATAGTTCTCTCTTCTCCCAGTGGAGAAGGAGGCTGGCTGGAGGACCTGGGGCCCCTCTGTCCTCCCCATGGTGGCAGTTGCTGATCTCTGCTCAGGTGTGAGGGGTGCCACAATGCCCTGGGCCTGAGGTTACCAGGCCCCACTCCTCCTCACTCCCCTGGACTCTTCCATGGTGGGTGTCTCTGTGCCCCTGCATCTTCCTATGTGTCCCTCTGATGAAAGGGGCAGTGGCACCATGACGCTGGTGGGAGGAACTGGCCACAGGCTGAGGAGGGCTCACCCAGCTGTGGGAAATGCTCTGGTTGACCTCGGCTTTCTGTGCACCGAGCTGGGCCTTGACCCAAGGTTGGAGGCAAGGCGTCCCTGGGCTGAGCAACCCTGGGTGTGGGCACTCCGGGTGCTGCTGCTGTGGTTCCTGCTGTGCTCGGCTGGGCCGCAGCTGGTACCAGCGCCCACCAGAAGTGCAGGAGCCACCCCACAGGTGGGAGGAGGTGCTATCGGGGGAACCCACCCCCAGTAATTCAACGTGAGTCCTTTTCTATTTTCCCTAAGTGTTGGCCAGTCTGAGAAATAAAGGGAAAGAGTACAAAAGAGAAATTTTAAAGCTGGGTGTCTGGGGGAGACATCACATGTCGGCAGGTTCTGTGATGCCCCCCAAGCCACAAAACCAGCAAGTTTTTATTAGTGATTTTCAAAGGGGAGGGAGTGTATGAATAGGGTGTGAGTCACAGAGATGACATGCTTCACAAGGTAATAAAAAATATATATATATATATTTTTTGAGATGGAGTCTCGCTCTGTCACCCAGGCTGGAGTGCAGTGGCCGGATCTCAGCTCACTGCAAGCTCCGCCTCCCGGGTTTATGCCATTCTCCTGCCTCAGCCTCCCGAGTAGCTGGGACTACAGGCGCCCGCCACCTCGCCCGGCTAGTTTTTTGTATTTTTTAGTAGAGACGGGGTTTCACGGGGTTAGCCAGGATGGTCTCGATCTCCTGACCTTGTGATCCGCCCATCTCAGCCTCCCAAAGTGCTGGGATTACAGGCTTGAGCCACCGCGCCCGGCCAAGGTAATAAAATATTACAAGGCAAATGGAGGCAGGGTGAGATCACAGGACCAGAGCGAAATTAAAATTGCTAATGAAGTTTCGGGCACGCATTGTCATTGATAACATCTTATCAGGAGACAGGGTTTCAGAGCAGACAACTGGTCTGACCAAAATTTATTAGGCAGGAATTTCCTCATCCTAATAGTCCTGGGAGTGCTATGGGAGACCGAGGCTTATTTCATCCCTTATCTGCAACCATAGAAGACAGACATTCCTAGATTGGCCATTTCAGAGATGTACCCCTAGGAATGCATTCTCTTTCTCAGGGCTGTTCCTTGATGAGAAAAAGAATTCAGCGATATTTATCCTATTTGCTTTTGAAAGAAGAGAAATATGGCTCTGTTCTGCCCTGCTCTCAGGCAGCTGGACATAATGGTTATCTCCCTTTTCCCTGAACATCGCTGTTATCCTGTTCTTTTTCTAAGGTGTCCAGATTTCATCTTGTTTAAACAAGTTGTGCAGTTAACGCAATCATCACAGGGTCCTGAGGTGACATACATCCTCAGCTTAGGAAGATGACAGGATTAAGAGATTAAAGACAGGCATAGGAAATCACAAGCGTATTGATTGGGGAAGTGATCAGTGTCCATGAAATCTTCACAATTTATGTTCTTCTGCCATGGCTTCAGCTGTCCCTCCATTCAGGGTCCCTGACTTCCTGCAACACGGTGCTAGCCATGGTCCCTGAAAACCAGGCTCTGCTGAGAAATCTCAGATGCCAGGAACAGAAGAACCCAGAAAAACTTGAGCCAAACGGATAGACTGTTGGAGTAGCTGAGGGTGAAGCTGCCGGAACTCCTCAAAGTGGAACAGCAAGGCCAGCACTAGAGATAGACAAGAAAAATAAAATTTCAAAGAAAATTAGAAGAAATCAAAGGCAGATGCTAAAGCAGCAAAAACCCCTCCACATCACAATAGAAACAGAGTTGATGAAGGAGTCTGAGAAACGAATCTTAGTCACAGAGAGAAAGGACAGCAGTGAACATGGTCAGGTGCTGATGATTCTGGTCCACTGGATCCCACCATCCCTAGGACAGTAAATACCATCCAGTCATTACCCAGCAAGTTACCACTGCAGCATTTCCTGTGTGTTCCAAAATGAATAAAGGTGATTCCCATCACAAGTGCAAATAAAAAGTCATTTATCATGTTTTTAATCTAAACTGTCACAGTTTAGTTTACTATTTTGTTCTTTTTGTGCTAAAATATTTTTCATTATTTCAGACAGAGTCTCACTCTGTCACCCAGGCAGGAGTACGGTGGCACAAACTCAGCTCACTGCAACCTCCTCCTCCTGGGTTCAATTAATTCTCCTACCTCAGCCTGCCCAGTAGCTGAAAACTACAGCCGCATGCCACCACACCTGGCTAATTTTTGTATTTTTAGTAGAGACGGGTTTTCACCATGTTTTGCCAGGCTGGTCTCAAACTTCTGACCTCAGGTGATGCACCTGCCTCAGCCTCCCAAAGTGTTGGGATTAGAGGCGTGAGCCACCCTGTCTGGCCAAACATTTGTTTTTCATTTATTTTTAATTTTTTTAAGGCAGAGTCTCACTCCTGCCCAGGCTGGAGTGCAGTGGCGTGATCTCAGGTCACTGCAGCCTCTGCCTCGCAGGTTCAAGCAATTCTCCTGCATCAGCCTCCCAAGTAACTGGGATTACAGGTGCCTGCCACCATGTCCAGCTAATTTTTGTATTTTTAGTAGAGACAGAGTTTCACCATGTTAGCCAGGCTGGTCTTGAACTCCTGACCTCAGGTGAAACACTTGCCTTGGCCTCCCAAAGTGCTGGGATAACAGTCATGGGCCACTGCGCCTAGCCACATTCGTTTTTTTTTTTTTTTTTTTTTTTTTGACGGAGTCTCGCTGTGTCGCCCAGGCTGGAGTGCAGTGGCGCGATCTCGGCTCACTGCAAGCTCCGCCTCCCGGGTTCACGCCATTCTCCTGCCTCAGCCTCCGAGTAGCTGGGACTGCAGGCGCCCGCCACCTCGCCCGGCCAGTTTTTTGCATTTTTAGTAGAGACGGGGTTTCACCATGTTAGCCAGGATGGTCTCGATCTCCTGACCTCGTGATCCACCCGCCTCGGCCTCCCAAAGTGCTGGGATTACAGGCTTGAGCCACCGCGCCCGGCCACATTCGTTTTTTAAAAGTGGCAGCCACAGTTCCCCTCTGTCTAGATATATTTTGAACTTTTGTACATTAAGTGTAACATAAAAAACTGTTATGTTTTAGGTAATGTAAGATTGGTGTACACAAACTTTACAGATTACTGTAGGGTTCAGCAAATGATGTATATAATGACATTTATATCTGTAGTTTTTAATGTATAAATCTTCCTTCAGAAAAGATTGACTTCTTTAAAAAACGACTCCACAAATTCAGGCTTATTTTATAAAACGGCACAGTAGTAAAAAAAAAATTAAAAAAAAAAAATTAAAAAAAAAAATTAAAAATGCTTTTTTTTTTGAGAGGAGGTTTCACTCTTTTTGCCCAGGCTGGAGTGCAATGGCATGATCTCAGCTCACTGTAACCTCCACCTCCTGGGTTCAAGTGATTCTCCTGCCTCCTCTTCCCGAGTAGCTAGGATTACAGGCACGCACCACTGTGCCCAGCTAATTTTTGTATATTTAGTAGAGACAGGATTTCATCATGTTGGTTAGGCTGGTCTTGAACGCCTGACATCAGGTGACCCACCTGCCTCGGCCTTCCAAAGTGTTGGGATTACGGGCGTGAGCCACTGCGCCTGGCCAAGAAATGGATATTTTTAATTAATAATTTGTGTTTTCAAACATACTGAAGTCTTGTTTTAGTAAGTCTGGGGATAGTTGACTAATTTTATTTTATTTTTTTTTAATGGAGTGTTCAAAAATTTTGATTGATGAGTAAACAAATCATTTTCTTTCAAATTTCATAGATCTATTGAAGTGTCAAATATACTTTTAATTTAAAAATGTCTTTCAGTATTGTTTCAGGGATTTAGGTCTAGTTGAATCTGCTCAACCTGTTAATCATTGTCACCTGCCAGATTCCAAATCACTGTCAGTGTGCCTGTATGACTCTTCTTTCCATAGTCTTTGAATTAAATTTGTATTACTTCTTTGAATGTTACATAATACAGCTCATACATTTCAAATGAAACCACCAGGTAAAATGAGTTCTGACTTAGTATAAAGAAGCTGTTGGCAACTCAGTATTACATATACAGATGGATGCAGCTCGACAAGAATTTAGACAAAAATATTGAACTATAACATGTTGCCATTACTTAGTCTCTGATGAGTTTATGGATAAATTCATATTTCAGCAGATATATCCAGTTGTGTTCAGTACCTCTAAACATGGTATATCAAGAATTCTTATGCTACTGTCTGAGAAAACAGACTCTGCTGTTACCTAAGAAGTCAGCTGGAAGGTGGGCTGGGCGCAGTGGCTCACACCTGTAATCCCAGCACTTTGGGAGGCCAGGGCAGGTGGATCACCTGAGGTCAGGAGTTTGAGATCAGCCTGACCAACATGGTGAAACTCGGTTGCCTCTAAAAATGCAAAAATTAGCCGGGCGTGTGGCGCAGGCCTGTAATCCCAGTTACTCAGGAGGCTGAGGCAGAATTGCCTGAACCCAGGAGGCTTGGGTTGCAGTAAGCAGAGATCACGCCATCACACTCCAGCCTGGGCAACAAGAGCGAAATTCTGTCCTGGGTGGGGGGTGGGGGGGAAGAAAGAAATCAACTGGAAGGCATTTTTATAATCTTGCACCACATAAGTAAAAACTGAAAGGTAGTACTAATAAATGCAAACTACATCACCTGGAAAACGGTAATCCAGAATGTCGCTTTCGATATTTAAGTATTTGAACTTTTGATATAAAAAATTTGGTAAAATAAAGCTTTTGATAAGCTTTGTGTAGCTTGACATCAGCATAAAGTAGGAAACTATCTTAAAAAGAAAAACAAAAACCGACACCAAAAAAAAAAAAAAACTAACAAATGCTTATATATCGATCTTTGTGCTCTGGGAGTCCAAAGCAAAACATTTGATGAACTTGATAGTTATTTTGAGCATATTGGCATGCTGATAAAATAATTTAAGTTTCATTTGAGTGAAACATGTCCACATCTCAAAAATACAGCTTTGTACTATGAATAATAAATGCAAAGTCTTTTTCCTCAAGAGGATCCTGATTCTCAACCCAACATATATGGCAACGCTTTCCATTGGTTCCTCCAAACTGAGGCCTCATTAAGGCTCAAATATGGAGTGAGAGGGACCCAGCAACAGACAATGTGAAACAAGAAGGATGAGGTAAGATGGGCAGCTCTAAGGCTCAGGAATTGCCTGAGGAATCCCAATATAATGACGTCAACTATAAAGCTTACTGGGTTAAATAAATAAATAAATAAAATAAAATAACTTAAAAAGCTGAAAATTCCATGAGTTGACTTTGGTGGGAAGGAGACTCTAGAATTTTAAGCAGTTGTGCCAAAAGGATTGAGTCAGAGTGACATTTATCTAAGGATTATTAAGGTAAAGGTTTACAAGCACGTAAGTATTTGTTCCAAATCTTATTACTGTAGCAATATTTTTCTCTGTAATGTCAGCATCCCCAAGCTAGGGATGCCATAGACAAACTAAGACAAGTGCCTAATATGTTGTAGGTAATTAGTTTCAAATTTCAACAAACTTTCAATAAACTCTGTTTCATGTATAAATCTCACTGAAAAGCACTATGCAGTAGCTATTTCTTTCAGTGAGTGATTTCTGGGATTTTCTGTTGCTTGATTCAAAACCAACCTTATTTGAACCCAATCATTTCCAAATTTCCAAATGTAATAACAAAAGAGAGTAGAAATGAAGCCAAGTCACCCCACACACTTCATGTCCAATATATTTGGTTCTGCAAATGAACCAAAAAATCACACAAGCTAAACAATAGTGAGTTTAAAATTCAACCTAATTTCAATTGTAGCAGTCAAAACCATATGCTAAAATTAGCAAAGCCACAATGCAGAATCCCTTAGGCTGTTATTCCAGGAAAAATAATAAAATTCTTATTTTGGCATTTTTCAGAAAGAATACACTAAATATGACAAAATATACCCAGTTATTAAAAGTCTTTGAAATATAAATTCTTATTCGTAAATATTTGCTATATTTAGAAGAGCCTTTCAGTGAAAAATGCTTATAGCTACTATGTATAAATTAAAACAGCCCTTGGAAAAATAGTATCTTTTATTAATAATGTAGATTGAAGCTCCAAGGATGTAAAATAATTTCTCCTGGGCACATAGCTCATGACCCAAATCAAGCTCAAATGAAGATAAGTAACAGTCATAAGTTATATCATTAAATTAAAATACTTCTAGAAATAAAAATAAAAGGAGAGATATAAAAACAAGAAAGAAATTTAAAAAAGGAAGTGGATTCCTCACAATTACTCCTAAGGTATGGATTAAACCTAAGTGTTAATCAACAGGTGAACGAATATAGAAAATGTGACATATTTACACAACGAAATGCTATTCAGCCCTTCAAAAGAAGCAACTCTTGTTATTTGCAAAAACATCAATGAACATGGAGGACATTATGCTAAGTAAAATAAGTCAGCAGAGAAAAGAACCCACACAATATTATTTCTTTTTCTTTCTTTTTTTTTTTTTTGAGACGGAGTTTTTCTTGTTGCCTAGGCTGGAGTACACTGGTACAATCTTGGCTCACCGCAACCTCCACCTCCCGAATTCAAGCGATTCTCCTGCCTCAGCCTCAAGTAGCTGGGACTGCAGGCATGCACCACCATGCCCGGTTAATTCTGCATTTTCAGTAGTGACAGGGTTTCTCCATGTTGGTCAGGCTGGTCTCGAACTTCCGACCTCAGGTGATCCGCCTGCCTAGGCCTCCCAAAGTGTTGGGATTCCAGGTGTGAGCCACCTGCCTGGCCACACACTAGTATTTTCTATGTAGAGTGTACAAACAATTTAAACCATAGAAGTAGAGAGTAGACATTTTTAGCTAAGACTTTATCTCATTCAAGTGTGTTTTATAAAATTTTTTGACATTTAAGTGTCTCTGATTTACCTGGAATATTGTAATTTTTCATGAATCCAGGTTGAGTACTATAAATAAACAATCTTTTACTAAAAGCTTTTCTGAGGCAGAGTAGGATACATCAAATTTTATTATAATATGGTAAAAGTGTGTTAACCATGTTCCCAGTAATCCCTCTGAACACAGCATTCTCAGTTCCCAGTATTCACTTTGAGTTGCTCAGGGGAAATTGTTATCTCTGTAAGCAGGCAGAACAAGGTGCCCCGTGGAGGTGCACCACATTGGACAGAAATGCTGTCCACATGCACCTCTACGGTCTTAATTTAATTGGGCTGTCATTTGCATGACTAGATACTTACTGAATCTGGTCATACTGGTTTTGGCAGCTAATGGTATTTGTTCCCCATCAGTTTTCTGCAATTATTTGCTTTGCTGAAAAATAAATCTTTTGTTAATTGAAAAACCAGATTTGCAATTTTCAATTTTTACATACGAAAGCAAATCAGAGAATCATGTGTATGTAGCATGCATTTTCCTATCAAAATTCTTCTTGTATTGCCTTGGAAACCCTAGGAAGTCACCTAAAGAATTCTCCCTTCAAATTGTTTAGCCAGGATTTTAGATTTCAAAAGATCCAGAACTTAATAATTGAGTAAAGCAAAAATCTTGTCTTTGCTTCTTGTTAGTAATCTGGTCATTTCAAAAAGCATTGCAATTATGCCAAGCTATTAAAAAGATGTTGTTTTGATTAATTTTATCCCATTTCAAATGTTTTAACTGTTTCTTTTATCTTGTCAATCTAAGAGAAACTATCTACATAACTGTTTATGCATTCACCCCTGTAATCCCAACACTTTGGGAGGCTGAGGTGAGTGGATCACTTGAGGTCAGGAGTTCCAGACCAGCCTTGCCAACATGGCGAAACCTCATCTCTGCTAAAATGTAAAAATCAGCTGGGCATGGTGGCGGGCATCTGTAATCCCAGTTACTTGGGAGGCTGAGGCAGGAGAATAGCTTGAACCTGGGAAGCAGAAGTTGCAGTGAGCTGAGATCACACCACTGCACTCCAGCATAGGTGACAGAGCAAGACTTCGTCTCAAAAAATAAATAAAAAATAGGTGTAGAATAGACATTTGGCAAAATTCAACATATACTCATGATAAATCTCTTAATAAAATAGGTAGAGGACAAATGCACCTCGAGCCAATATACACCAGATATACCAAAAAATGCACAGCTAATAACATATTAAGCAAGGAAATGTAAGCTTTTACTCTAAAAGCTAGAACAAGACAAGAATGCCCACTTTGGTCAGTCTTATTAAACATGGTATTAAATGTCCAAGTCAGAAAATTTAGAGAATAAAATCAAAGGCATCCAGCTTGGGAAAAAAGTTAAATGATCCCTGTTTGCAGATGACATACTCTTCGGTATAGAAAAGCCTAAGACTTCACTTAGAACTAATGAACAAATTTTTAAACTTGCAAAATACAAAATCAACACACAAGAGTCAGTAGCATTTCTACACAAGAACAATTAGCTACCTCAAAATAAAATTAAAAGCAATCTCATTTACAATAACTGTAATAACTACACTTTGAAATCAATTTAACCAAAAAGTTAAAACACCTTACACTGTAATCTAAAGAACATTAGAGGAAGAAATTAAATACTACACCAATAAAAAAATAGTACTAATTCATGAATTGGATTTAATATTGTTAAATACCCATATTACAGAAAATAATCTGCAGATATAATACAACCATTATGAAAATACCAGTGACATACTTAATAACAATTTAAAAAATATATATCTAAAATTTATATGGTACCCCACAAAAGATCCTGTATAGCCAAAGCAATCAAGGAAAAACAAAAACAAAAACAAAATACTAAAGTTATTACCCTACCTGACTTTGAAATATACTACAAAGCTATAGTACCCAAAACAGTATGGTACTTCAATAAAAACAGACACATATGCCAATGGAGCAGTGAAGACAAACCAGAAATATATCCATGTATTTACAGCTAACTCAATTTAAATATAGGTAACACCTTCTTAGGGAAAGGGCAGTATCTTCAGTAAATGGTGCTGAGAAAATTATAGCCACATGCAGAGCAATATAATGAGACCCTCATTTCACACCATATCTAAAAATCTACTCAAATAGTTTACTTACCTAAATGTAAGGCCTGAATCTCTGAAACTACTACAAAAAATATAGAGTAAAACCCCCATAACATTGGTCTAGGCAGTAACTCTTTGATTTAACCTCAAAATCCCAGGGAATCAAAGGTAAAATTGATGTCAGATTACTTCAAATTATTAATAAAAAGCTGCTGAAAAAAATCTGATACAACAAACAGGACAAGAAAAGTAAAAAATGGGACAAAATATTTGCAAACCATACATGTGACAAGACATTACTATCAAAAAATATGTAAGAAACTTGGCCAGGCTGCAGGCTCATGCCTATAAATCCAGCACTTTGAGAGGCCAAGGCAGGCAGATCACTTGAGGTCAGGAGTTAGAGACCAGACTGGCCAACATGGTGAAACCCCATCTCTACTAAAAATATAAAAATTAGCTGGGCATGGTTGTGGGTGCCTGTAATCTCAGGTACTTGGTAAGCTGAGGCAGAAGAATCGCTTGAACCCAGGAGGCAGAGGTTGCAGTGAGTCAAGATTGCACCACTGCACTCCAGTCTGGGCAACAGAGTGAGACTCTGTCTCAAAATATGTGTGTGTATATACATATATCTATACATGTATATGTATATACATATGTGCGTGTGTGTGTATATATATGTGAAACTCAAATGACTACACAATAAAAAACAAATAACTATTAAAAGTGAGTAAAAGGCCTAAGTAAATATTTTTTCAAAAAAAGGCATACATATGGCCAACAGATACATTTAAAAATCCTAAACATCAATTATTATTAGGGAAAAGCAAGCCAAAAGAAAAAAAACCTATGAGATATCAACTCACTCCTGTCACAATTACTCATATTAAAAAGATAAAAAAGTATTGGTAAACATACGAAGAAAACAAAATGTTTGCACACTGTTGGCTTAAATGTAAATGAGGACAGCCATTATGAAAAACAAAACAGAGATTCCTTAAAAAATTTAAAATCAAACTATTGTATAATATAGCAATTCCACTATTGTATACATATATCCCTAACAAATAAAATCAGAATGAAGAAACATCTGCACTTCTATGTTGTTTGCAACACTCTTCACAATGGCCAAAACATGGAATCAACAGTTCAACATCTAATGAGTCAATAAGGAGATTGTGGTGTATGTACACAATGGAATACTATTCACCTTTTAAAAAGAAAATCGTATTATTTTCAATCACATGGATTAACCTGAAGGACACTATATTAGTTGAAATAAGCCAAAGATTAATATGTCATAATTTCACTTACACATGCATTCTAAAAAAATTAATCTCACGGAAGTAGAGAGCAAAATGGTAATGACCAGATGCCGAGGTATTTAGAAGAAAGTGAGGTTTGGAAAGATGTCTGTCAAAGAATACACAATTATAGTTAAATAAGAGGATTAAGTTCAAAAGATTTTTCTGTACAGCACAGTAACTATAGTTCATAATAATGTATTTGTATATGCTAAGAGAATACTGAAAAAATGAAGAGTGCTAAGAAAAATGCTAAGAAAATGTGAAGTGCTCTCACCACAAAATGTTAACTATGTGAGGTGAAGCATTAACCTAGAATGAAGCATTTGACATTGTACATATACTTCAAAACATCATGTTTTACAGAAAAAATGCACATTTTATGTCACATAAAAAAATTCATTTTTAAAACATTATGGAAATATGTTTCAAATACTGTCTTTTTCATAAACTTGGCTGAATAGTATCAAAAATACTTAGTTCTCATGTGGTTTTTGTCATCTGTCATGATCACAGAAACTCTGATATTTAACACCATGTTCTGGACTCAGCACAGTCCATGGGAAAAGTCAATGTACTTTAGGGTTTTTAAGCTTGGGGCACCTGGAGTTTCTGGTACAGATGGTAATGGTGTGAAAGACACTAAAAGGGCAGGTGTTGTTTATGGCCCCATGACACTACTCAAAACAAATTTGCATGCAAAGAAATAGAGAACGTTTTAATCCAAAAGTTGCCATGATCTCCAAAAGTTTTCCAGAGAAAATGACCAAGGAGTTGGCTACAGATAGGTGACTAAGAATAAAAACTGTAGACTGAACTTCACCAACCAAATATATATATATATACATGTGTATATATATATATATATATTTTTTTTTTTTTTTTTTTTAAAGTGAGACCGGGAGCAGTGGCTCATGCCTGTAATCCCAATACTTCGGGAGGCTGAGGCAGGTGGATCATCTGAGGTCAGGAGCTCGAGACCAGCCTGGCCAACATGGCGAAATGCCATCTCTACTAAAATTAGTACAAAAAAATTAGTACAAAAATTAGCCAGGCGTGGTGGCAAGTGCCTGTAATCCTAGCTACTCAGGAGGCTGAGGCAGGAGAATAGCTTGAACCCGGGAGGCGAAGGTTGCAGTGAACCGAGATTGCGCCACTGTACTCTAGCCTGGGTGACAAGAGTGAGACTCCACCTAAAAAAGTAAGAAATTCCTCCAAATTGTAATATCAATATGGAAAAGAAATACTATTCCAAATTTCAAATCAACAGAAGTCATTTTATTATTTTGCAATGTTTAACAGCCACACTTAAAGATAGAAGATTCTGTGTGGAAACATAAGTTGTGCTATATTATAGAAAATTAAATTCAAAATGTTTGATTTATCGGGTTTTTTTTGTTGTTGTTGGTTTTTTGTTTTTTGTTTTTGATGGAGTCTCATTGTTGCCCAGACTGGAGTGCAGTGGCATGATCTCGGCTCACTGCAACCTCTGCCTCCTGCATTCAAATAATTGTCTTGCCTCAGCCTTCAAAGTAGCTGGGGCTACAGGTACACACGGCCACAGTTGGCTAATTTTTGTATTTTTAGTAGAGACAGGGTTTCACCATCTTGGCTGGGCTGGTTTCGCACTCCTGGCCTTAAGTAATCCACCCAGCTCAGCCTCCCAAAGTGTTGGGATTAGAGGCATAAGCCAGCGTGCCCAGTCAGATTTATCATTAGCTCTCTCAAGAATTTCATTTCTGGCCAGGCACAGTGGCTCACGCCTGTAATCCCAGCACTTTGGGAGGCCGAGGTGGGCAGATCACCTAAGGTCGGGAGTTCACAACCAGCCTGACCAACATGGAGAAACCCCATCTGTACTAAAAATACAAAATTAGCTGGGCATGGTGGCGCATGCCTGTAATCCAAGCTACTCGGGAGGCTGAGACAGGAGAGTCAAACCCAGGAGGTGGAGGTTGCGGTGAGGCAACATCGGGCCATTACACTCCAGCCTGGGTAAAAAGAGTGAGATCCCATCTCAAAAAAAATTAATAAATAAAAATAAATTAATTTATTTCTGACATATTTTCTAGCAAATTTTAAATGTGCCACACTTTGTGTAAGAATCTAGTAAGATTTTTCTTTTACAGTTAAAAACAATGCCAAGTGATTTAATCCTCTCACCTGTGGACAGTGTATGTCTTTTATCTTAATTAACAATCTGAGAGTTATATTGATAAGCAAACTCGCCAATTAAAACCAATTTTTCAGTGCACTAAAAATACGAAATTTCTCATCAAAACTTACTAAATTACCATGCGAAATGACATGGCATAAAGACAACAGTGAGAAAACTGTAGCCATAATACAGAAAAAGAAGAGCTGTGATGCATACATTGTTGGAATACACATAAGACAAACAAACCTGACGATAATTAGAAAATTACCAGAATTTCTCTTTAAATTCAGCAGAATTCAGCTTTGCAGCCCAGAAAAAAAAAAGTCCTCTCCATATGAAGAATCAATGTTACTGTTTCACCATTGATATATTCCATTTCTGACTTGAAGTTACAAACTAACTTCAACAGGAGTATTTACATCTTACTATGGAGCATCTGTTACACAGCAAGCACTGTCATGTTTGTCTGCTATGTTTATATATAATAGCATCCTCATGACTCAGGAAGCCTTCCTAGTACTTACCTGAACAAATTCATTAAATAAATAAATTTACTTATATCAATTATGAAAAGTGAAAGAAAGAATAACTTTTAAAAAGTAGGCTCACATAGGGTTCTCCAATTAAAAGAACAAAGGGCAATGTTTTAACTAAATAAATAAATTATAACTTAATAGACTAATAGTAAAATTACATCTAAAAATTACTTTTTGTACACTACTAAATTTTATAAAAAATCATTGTTGTAATCCCTGACCAGCTCACATAATACTTCATAAACTGTAAAAGAAATTATAAGAAAAAAGAAATGTACAGCTCTACCATGAGTACCAGGCAAGTAAAAACAGAACATCTGCATGGGGAGATTCTGAACCATAAGCCATAATATTTTACAGTAATGAATTCAATACAAAGCAGAAAGAGTATGGATTTGCTTTCAGCATTTTTGAGGTTGTTAGTTTTCTAGTAAATTAGTCACCTTATTAAAATGATTTGTTTTTTTCCAATATTGCTCTTTTCTTCTGAAAATAGGTACAAACATACTCACAAGCACACTTACAATTTTCTTATACTTGAGATTTATCTTTAAAGTAAAATGTATCTATATTTAACTCTATGTAAATCAAAACTAAAAGTCTTTATATGCTTGTAGGCAAAGAGGCCACATGTTAGAAAAAAATATATATAACATATTTTTAAAAATATTCAGGACTCAGAAATGTTATTTATACTTTTATAATTTTTAATGTGACCATAAAAATAACCCTGTAGTCCACCACAATTTAGTTGTACATTTTAAAATAAAAGTATAGAACTGAACAGTTTGTAATACAAAGGATAAATGCTAGTAATGGATACCTCATTTACCCTGATGTGATTATTACATATTATATACCTGTATCAAAACATGCCATATATGGCATAAATATAAAAACATACTATGTACCCATGAAAAATAAGAACAATAAATTTAAATAAGAAAAAATATAAATGTAAAACCTATGGGAATATTCTTTGACTTATTTGCAGTTTAAAGCCACTGGCAAAAGAGATTACTAAAGATGTTAGTCCACTATGTAACCAAATAGTATATTGCTATCATCATCTTTTACCTACGCCATTGAGTAAGGTGGGGCAGGTTAAAGTTTGTGGCATAAAAATGCTTCACTGAATACACAACAGTCTTAACATGTTAAAATATGTTTAAAAATCTAAGTTCATACATAATCTAAAAATTTTGAAATGTACTGCATTTTATTATGAAAAGCACAATTCATAAAATACTGAATTTTAACTAAAATTTAAAAACTTTTCACTATAATGCAGAATATTACTCTGAACACCTACCTCATGCATGACTCAATATTATCAGTTAACCACAAGAGCCTCTCTACTTAGATTTTCATCACGTGTCTTTCATTTTAATGTTCTTACTCTTCCATTAAAAAGGTCATAAGTAATGCCCATCTAATAAAAAAAAATCTCTCATATCTTTGATGCAACAACAGTTGATCACATGCTTTCACATGTGAATACAATAGGAATGAAGAAAAGCATGGACCAGGTGTGTGGCTCATGCCTGTAATCCCAGCATTTTGGGAGGCTGATGCAGGCAGATCACCTGAGGTCGGGAGTTCGAGAGCAGCCTGACCAACATGGAGAAACCCTGTCTCTACTAAAAATACAAAATTAGCTGGGCGTGGTGGCACATGCCTGTAATCCCAGCTACTCGGGAGACTGAGGCAGGAGAATCACTTGAACCCAGGAGGCGGAGATTGCAGTGAGCTGAGATCACGCCATTGCACTCCAGCCTGGGCAACAAGAGCAAAACTCCGTCCAAAAAAGACCAAAAAACATGGATTTGAGAGTTGAATTATATCATTATTCACTTTTTAAAAAACCTGTAATTTTTCCCAAAGAAAACAGTGTACTTTGAATGTAAATATACCTCTGCAAAAAACTTTTTCACTATTAGTTATCTACCAACTTGTGTTTTGGATAACTTTCTGTACTCAGCACTCTGATTTTGTGTAATGTCTGAAGTGTCAGTATCTTAAGATATCTGTACTGTGAATTCTCTGATATTTATATAAACCTAATTTTGGATCATGTATTTCATATTTACTGTTGCATTTGCAAAAATATATTTTAGTATAATTCCTCTCATGTTTTCTAAGCTGTTGTTGAAAAAGTGTTTTTCCAAATTCATTACACTCATAGGGTTTTTCTCCAACATAAATTTCCTGGTATTGAACAAAGTTTGAACAACTGCTTCAGGGTTTTTCTCTAGTACAAAATGTGTACAGTAAGATCTACGATACAAGCAAAGGTACTACAAACCTCTTCGTATTTTTAATGCTTCTCTTCAAAATACTCTGCTGCACTTTACAGGCTTATATTGTCTGAAAGATCTTTTGACAGTAATTTCATTGATAACGCTTTTATTAAGTACTAACTTTCTGATGTTGAGTAAGATATGAGCAGATATTAATGACTTTTCCATTCTTTATACAATTTTTCTCAAGTATAAATGCTTTCCTGTGCAATAAGGTATGAGAATTGTTTTGTCACATTTGTCACACTTCTCGGAGTTTTCTCCAGTATGAATCATCTTATATACAATCAAGTGTGACAACCACTTAAAGGCTTTGTCACATTCTTCACATTTCTAGGATTTCTCACCAGTATGATTTCTTTTATGTCTAGAAAAGTTTGAGGTGTTGTCAAAAGCACTGTCATGTCCTTTAGGTTTGTATGGTTTCTGTCCAGTATGAATTTTCTTATGTCGGGTAAGGTTTGAGGACCGGTTAAAAGCTTTGCCACATTCTTCACATTTGTAGGGTTTCTCTCCAGTATGAATTCTCTTATGTTTAGTAAGAGTTGAGGACCAGTTAAAGGCTCTGCCACATTCATTACATTTGTAAGGTTTCTCTCCAGTATGAACTCTCTTATGTTCAGTAAGGGTTGAGAATGCCCTAAAGGCGCTGCCACATTCTTCACATTTGTAGGGTTTTGCTCCAGTATGAATTATCTTATGTTTAGTAAGGGTTGAGAATACACTAAAGGCTTTTCCACATTCTTCACATTTGTATGGTTTCTCTTTAGTATAAATTCTCTTATGTTTAGTAAGAGTTGTGGACCGTTTAAAGGCTTTACCACATTCTTCACATTTGTAGGGTTTCTCTCCAGTATGAACTATCTTATGTCTAGTAAGGGTTGAGGACTGGTTAAAGGCTTTACCACATTCATTGCATTTGTAGGGTTTCTCTCCAGTATGAATTCTCTTATGTTTAGTAAGAGTTGAGGACCAGTTAAAGGCTTTACCACATTCGTTGCATTTGTAGGGCTTCTCTCCAGTATGAATTATCTTATGTTTAGTAAGGGTTGAGAATATACTAAAGCCTTTGCCACATTCTTCACAATTGTAGGGTTTTGTTCCTGTATGAATTATCTTATGTTTAGTAAGGATTGAAAATACACTAAAGACTTTGCCACAATCTTCACATTTGTAAGGTTTCTCTTCAGTATGAATTTTTTTATGTTTAGTAAGAGTTAAGGACTGGTTAAAGGCTTTGCCACATTCTTCACATTTGTAGGGATTCACTTCAGTATGAATTATCTTATGTTTAGTAAGATTTGAGAACTGGTTAAAGGCTTTTCCACATGTTTTACATTTGTAGAAATTCCCTCTAGTAGCAGTTTTCTTATGCTGAGTTAGTTGTGAAAGTATGCAACATGATTTGCCACATTCTTTACGTTTGAAAGGTTTCTTTCCAGTATGTTTTTTCTTGTGTCTACTTGAATTTGAGAATTTATGAAGAACTTTAACATATTTATCACATTGAAATATTTTGCCCTGGGTAGTTGTCAAACATTGGTTAAGTCCATTATAACCTCTTTTGTGCACCTTATGCTCATGCACACTTTTACAGTCTTTTCTTAATTGTAAATTTTCATGTCCATATTTTCCATATCTTCTCAGGATCACTTTTTGAAAAGAATCTTTTAAGCCCTGTTTTGGCCAAAGGTCTTGGGCAAAATGAGAACACACAACTGAAAGAAATAAAAATAACAATTACTTCACTTACTAGACTCAGATGAATATACTTTACAAATCTAACCTATAAAAATATACAAACTACATAAGCAAGATGGCACAGCAAAATACCACAGGCCCTAATTCCTTCACAGACATATCAATGTAACAAAACATACTGACCAAGATACATTTGTGGAAAATATATAAATGAGTTAAGTGTGTGCAGTGCCCCAGGTGAGCACAATGCAAAGAGCCATAGAGAAGGAAAAGAAAAGTCTACTGCAGGCCAGGTGCAGTGGCTCGTGCCTGTAATCCCAGCATTTTGGGAGGCCGAGGCAGGCAGATCACAAGGTCAAGAGTTCAAGACCAGCCTGACCAACATGATGAAACCTCCTCTCTGGTAAAACCACAAAAATTAGCCAGGTGTGGTGGCGCATGCCTGTAATCCCAGCTACTCAGGAGGCTGAGGCAGGAGAGTCCCTTGAACCTGGAAGGTAGAGGCTGCAGTGAGCTGAGATTACGCCATTGAACTACAGCCTGGGTGATCAGAGCAAAACTCTGTCTCAAAAAAAAAAAGAAGTAAATTGCAACTCTTGGTTTCTTTTTGAAAAGAGAAGAAAAATAGTGGCACACACATATTCATTTCAGACTTCTAGGGACCTTTCCAGACACTGATTTCTGTCTCTCATGACATAAAATGCAAAAGAAATGGTGATATACTATGGAATGACAGTTTGAGTCAACTGAGACCCAAGGTGAATGTTGCAGCAGCAGAGAAACTGCAGTACCACAGACAGGGAACAGGTGTAGCAAGTGACTACTGACTCATGAACAAACTCCTTTAACTAAAAAACCCAAAAAATTTCAGAAAAGACACACTTTAAGAACATGTTTGAGAGACTACCAAAATCTCTAGCCAAGACAGTTGGTTTCAGGCTATGACAAGACAAAGATACATTATAAAGATTGTGATGGGTAGCTTGTTTTTAATGTCCAAATCTCAATAAAAAATTATAATGCATACAAAATATGAAGGCAACATGGCCTCATCAAAAACATTAAAATTTTCTGAAAGCAACTATTAAAGAATGAAGCTGTAAAAATTAATTTTAAAAATTTAAAATAAATTGAATACTCAATGAATTAAATAGGAACAGACAACTATTGAAAATCAGAAATATGAGGATAAAAACAAGTGTTAAAAATATCAAAAACAAATTGTTAAGGTAAAATTACAAAAAAAAACTAAAAAATTTTAAAAGTAGGAAAAACTGATGTAAAAATGAAGATGCTCAACAAACTAGGATACCCACACAGATATTTATAACACACACATATATAAGCACGATTTCAACAGTCACAGGCAAGAGAATCTTGGGAGCTGCAAGATGAAAGTGATGTGTCATTTACAAGGATAGTCTTATGAGAAAACCAGTGAATCTGTCAAGAAAATTTTGCAGGCCAGAAAAAAAACTGTGTGATATAGTCAAAGTCCTTAAAAAAAAAAAAAAAAAAAGCTGCCAAGTGAGAATAATACCATCAGCAAAACTGTCCTACCAGATAAAAAGGAAAAGACCTTCCAAAATAACCAAATCCTGAAAAAGTATATTGGCACTCCATTTGCCCTACATATCAAAGATGGTGAAAAGGAGTTATTTCCACTGCAAATAACATGATGCAAGAAAACAACACATAATCATATGAAAATACATAACTTTCTGGGAGAGATATGCACATACACAAAAATACTATTCCTTAGCATTATCATAATGGTGCAGTACACATTTTTAATTATTCGCTAGAACTTGAAAGATAAAAGCATAGAAACTATTATAAACAACTGTTAATGGACATACAACATAAAAAGATATAATTAGCACCATCAATAACAATGTTGAGGACAGATGTAACAAGGAAAAAACCTTGTATGCGGCCAGGCATGGTAGCTCATGCCTGTAATTCCAGCACTTTGGGAGGCCAAGGCGGGTGAATCACAAGGTCAAGAGTTCGAGACCAACTTGGCCAACATAGTGAAACCCTGTCTCTACTAAAAAAAAATACAAAAAGTAGCCAGGCATGGTGCCACGCGCCTGTAGTCCCAGCTACTCAGGAGGCTGAAGCAGAATTGTTTGAACCTGGGAAATGGAGGTTGTAGTAAGCCGAGACTGTGTCACTGCACTCCAGCCTCGGCAACAGAGTGAGACTCTGTCTCAAAAGCAAAACAAAACAACAAAAAAAACTTTGTATGCAACTGAAATTAATTTTTTTTACCAGGTTAAACTATATTGTTGTATTTTTTAGAGGTTTTATGTAATCCCCAAGTTACCCCCAAAAATATCTGTATGGATACACAAATAAGAAAGAAATGAAAGCATCAAAGGAAGACAAAGAAAAATGAGGGACAAAGATACAAGAATCAAAGAAAACAACTAATAAAATGACATTATAAGACTTTCAGAAAATTATTTGAATATATGTAATTAACTTTCCAATCAAGAGACATACATTTAATAAAGGGATTTATTTAAAGAATTGAAAAATCGGCCAGGCGCGGTGGCTCATGCCTGTAATCCCAGCACTTTGGGAGGCCGAGGCGGTGGATCACCTTAGGTCAGGAGTTTGAGACAAGCATGACCAATATGGTGAAACCCTGTCTATTCTAAAAATACAAAAATGAGCCAGACATGGTGGCAGACGCCTGTAATCCCAGCTACTTGGAAGGCCGAGGCAGGAGAATTGCTTGAACCTGGGAGGCGGAGGTTGCAATGAGCTGAGATGGTACCACTGCACTACTCTAGCCTGGGTGACAGAACAAGATTCCCGCTAAAAAAAAAAAAAGAAAAGAAAAATCAAGATCCAACTTGCCTTTCTACAAGAGTCAGAAAAGATCTAATAATAAAAAGACTGAAAGTGGCAAGATGGAAGTAGACATTCCATGCAAATATTAACAAAACGAGAGCAGCAGACATCAAAACAGTATTACACAAGCTACATCTTAAGTAACTGTCATATTTTATAAAATGTACTTTAAGTCAAAACTCCAAAGAGACAAATAAGGACATTAAACAATAACAGATTCATGGGAACCTATGACAAATTTGCGTGTGTTTGTGTGTGTGTGTGTATGTGTGTCTCACATTAGGGTTCTAAATATATAAAGCAAATATCAACAGAATTGAAGAAACACATAGAGAACAATATAATTATAGAATATTTTAATATCCCATTTTCTAAAATAAGAATAAAACAAGACAGAATATTAGTAAGAGAACAGAGGACCTGAAGGCAGTATAAAACAAATATTCCTAACGTAGGTATACAAAACTCAACAACATTAAGATACACACCCTTATCGATAGCTCATACAACTTTCTTCTTGATAGGCCACCAAATAAGTCAAAAAAGTCTTAAAAAGTATTTTAGAACTGAAATTTTATGGATTACTTTCCATAACAAAAATGGAATGACAATATAAAACAATAATATTAAAAGCTAACAAGTTTACAAATATATAGAAATTAAACCAAATTCTTTAGCATGCTTTTGTTCAAAAGTTGAAATTAATATTGTGAAGATGCCTATACTGCTCAATACACAAGATTTAATGCAATGTTTTCCCAATTTCTCATTGCATTTTTGAAGACATAAAAACAGCAACCCGTAAAGTATATGGAATCTCAAGGGACAATAAAGTACCTAACAATCTTCAAAAACAGGAACAATGTTGGAAGCATTATAGTTTCTGATTTTAAAACATATTACAAAGCTACAGAATTAAAACAATTTGCTACAAGTATAAAAGTTAAAAAAAAGTAGACAAAATAGAATGTAGCACATATATATACTTTCACATATATGGTCATATGAAGAGTCATTTTCATACCCATAATTATTATACTATTGCTACTGAAAGCCAATAGGTAAAAGCAAAACAAGTTTCTGTCACCAAATCATTCAGTAGATACGATCTGAAATATAATAATACTTGGCTGGGCACTGTGGCTCATGCCTGTAATCCTAGCACTTTGGGAGGCTGAGGAGGGCAGATCACATGAGGTCAGGAGTTCTAGACCAGCCTGGCCAACATGGTGAAACCCCGACTCTACTAAAAATACAAAAATTAGCCAGGCATGATGGCACTCGCCTATAATCCCAGCTACTTGGGAGGCTAAGGCAGTAGAATCGCTTGAATCCCGAGGGGCAGAGGTTGCAGTGACCCAAGATCACACCACTGTACTCCAATCTGGGTGAAAGAGTGAGAATCTGTATTATTTAAAAAAAAAAACAAAAAAAAAAAAACACATACACACACACACACAAAACAAACAACAACAAAAAAACTGGACTGTCATTCAGTTTTCAAAAAGTAGAAGATAGTCTAACAACTATAAAGATAAATTTTGATGACATTATGCAAAATAAAATGAGCCAGCCATAAAAAGACAGAGATTGTTGAGATATATGATGCAGTTACACTCCTAGAAAAAAAAGACTGGTGTTTGAAAAGTGCCATGAAAATGGGAAAAATTGGTAGTTGTTTAATATGTGTTGAGACTTAGCTTTGCAAGATAAAAACATTTTAGTAAAATGTTGCATAATTATGACTAAAGTGAATATTTAAGAATATTTATTGTAAATTTTGTGATTTTTTTTTTTTTTTTAAATTTTGAGACAGTCTTGCTCTTTCACCCAGACTGGAGTGCAGTGGCACCATCTCGGCTCACTGCAGCCTCCACATCCTCAGCTCAAGTGATTCTCATGCCTCAGCCTCCAGAGAAGCTGGGATTACAGGCATGCACTACCACACCTGGTTAATGTTTTGTATTTTTAGTAGAGACAGGGTTTCACCACGTTGGCCAGGCTGGTCTCGAACTACTGACCTCATGTAATCTACCCGCCTTGGCCTTCCAAAGTGCTGGGATTACAGGTGTGACATGGACTAATCACTTGATACCAGGAGTTTGAGACCAGCCTGGGTAACATGGCAAAGCCCTGTCTCTACAAATAATACAAA